TGAAGTATGGGAAACTGCTGCAGCCTTCTCACCACCAAAGCATTCACAAAGTGATTTGTAATCCTTTGTAATCTTTGGGAATGATTTCATCCAGCAGTGAGCACGCTAACTTGCTGGGCTAGTGTTTCCCTAGCAGTCAGAGGTTACCAGGGGGGGTCACTGACTGGCATCTGGCTTAAATGCAACAGTAATTAGGTCACAAGAAGGTAACCCTTGTGTTTTAACCAAATTACCAGAAGGCCACAATCTGTGGGTAGTGATCAAACAAGCAAGTTCACTCTGGACCCAGATAGATGGTGGATGGATGGTGTGACACTTTCATTCTTGTCACATAAAAGGTTGTTATTTCAAGAACCATTGATTACCTTTTGTAGTGAACAAGAACAGAGTGAACTTTGAGATTCTTCATCACTCAACAGCAGTGGAAAAAAGATTCCACAAACGTATTTACTTATTATTGTTAGCTTATCCAGGGAATCATTTCAGGTTACTACACAGGGAAGCGTGATTAGGAATCCAGTTTGCGAGCCATGTGTTTTGTCTGTGCGCGTTACTGTCACATCTGCTGACAGCTACATTTGATTCTGTGGTCTCAGTCGCGGAAAGCGCTGGAGTTTAGCCGCAGCCTTGTTTACCACTGTGGATACAGTGCATTTTGTTTCAAAACAGATTTTTTTTTTTGTCTCCACTCAAGCTGAAATTTAATTACTACTTTATTTGCTTTCCAAACATGGAAATTGACATCCCAGCTGATTTGTTATTCAAATTTTTGATTTGTTTTTGTGTGTTTCTCCTGCCTGCTGTTTGCTATATACCTCTCATATGGTTCACTGAATTCTGCCTTTGCGTGGCTAAACTTTTTGGTTGCGAAACCATGCATGCAGGTTCATGTGTTTGAACCTGCATTGTGTAGGTGTGTGTGTGTGTGCTGGCCCCGAGGGAAGAGGTAATCTACCTCGGCTATATAAAGGGAGTCAGGCAGAACCTCAACAGCACACCTCCAGATCTTCATCCACACTCTCCCACATCATCATTTCTTTACTCATCATCAGCAGCCATGCATTTACTTCTCACTCTGCTGGGAGCTGTGCTATCCTCTCTGATGGTTTCTTCTGAAGTCCAACCTCAGGCAGACTTCAATGTACAGGCGGTAAGACAAATGGCTACATTAGTGTGTTTTATTTTACAATATTTATTTCTATGATCGTTGTATTTATTTAATTCCCTATATCGTTTGTAAGTCCAGCAGCAATGCATATTCAACTTGTTTATATGGTTTTGGCTTTTCACTTTTTGACTTTTGTGTTTTATGCTGTGATAAATCTTTTGTTCACTGCCTTCATAAACAAAAGCAATGTAGCTGTCTTCAAAAACAAAGAAAAAGAAGAAGGCACACATGAAGTGTTTTCTCTGTCTTCCAAAGCTTACGCGAGTTATTAAAACACACTTTATTGTAAAGGTGGTCACAGAAAGTGTTTCAAAAACGCTTCAGTAAAGTTTTCAACTCCTGATGCTTTCCTCTTGTGTGCCCACAGATGGCAGGTAAGTGGTACCTGATTGGAATTGCCACTGATGCCCAGTGGTTTGTCAGTCACAGAGCCAGCATGAAGATGGGCACGGCCATGATTACCCCAACTGCTGACGGGGATCTGGAGATGTCATATTCCAGTCTTAGGTAAGTGTGAGGGCATGAGGACAATGGACATTTAAATAAATAGGAATATATATCTATATATCTGTATATAAATATATATGAAAGACAACATGTGAAAGAATTAATGTTTTAGTGATCTCTTTGCAGCCCTAATGGCTCGTGTTGGAGAATGAACAATCTGGCCAAAAAAACTGAGATACCGGGAAAGTTCACATACACAAGTCGACGTGAGTGCACCCACACACAGAGAAAAGCACGATTTAACGATCTAGTATGTTTGCCTTTTCTGCTTTCATAATTTCATGACCCCTTTTCTGCTGCATTCCCTTTGTCAGGCTGGGGGTATCTCAGTGACTTGCGCATGGTCGACGTGAAGTATGACGAGTATGCCCTGATTCATTCCATCAAAACAAAGGGGAAAGAAAGCTATGTTGTTAACAAACTATATGGTAATATGGCATTTAGCTCTGATTCTACACTCTGCTCAGCCCATTTTAACCTGTTCTGCTGGTCGGTAAAGCCATACCCACTGCAGCAGATTTACATCATCTGTTTTCACAGGGCGTGGTGTGGACCTCAGCGCTGAGGTGCAGGAGAAGTTCATTCAGTTCTCCCTGCAAACCAGCATCCAGCCTGAAAATATTGTCATCCTTCCCAAAAACGGTACTTTTACCTCTAAGATGTTTTATTTAAAATAACTGCAATCAAGAGTGATGTTATGCACTGATCACTTTTCCATTTTCTTTACATTTTCCTCTCTATAGAGGAGTGCCCAGCTGCCTAACCTTGTGTCCAGGTGATCATCTCACCGAGGAGCTTTCACTGTTCTGAAAATCTCACATCGATGACCTGAGACAGTTTGCTTTTTACTTTACTATCTCTGCTCTTTCGTTATTAAGAGGGCTCATAATATCACAAAATTATATTCATCACTTTGCATTTATCCACCTGCTGTTATAACCACAGAAATAAAAAGTATGAAATGGCCAAAATCTTTTGATTTACTCTATTTTTAAACAAATACCTTGAAGTACATCCATAACAGCACAGCAAAAACCTTCTTTTTTATCAAGTCTTTGTATCTACACACTTTGCAAAGATTTATATACAAAAAATAATAGTATAAAATATACATAATCACAGAAGATGACCAAAACAATGCACCAGTGTTCTGAATTTGTATCTACAAACATGCAAATTTCCCTTTCTACAGGCAAAAGTACGTAAGTAAGTCGAGAAAACAAGGAGTTCAGCCCTTAATTTTAAAACAGCAGCAGCAGATATACTGTTCATCTCTCATTTAGACAAAACAACAGGGATGACAGACTTTATTTATTTATTTATTTTATTTTTTGTTTCACACACGGTACAGCAGTAATTCATTTCCCATACACAACCTTCCTTTCAATTAAAGTAACACTGTTTCCATGCATGAAAAGGAGAAGGAAGAAGAATAAATTCTTTGACCGCTTTGTCACAGCACACAGTGTTTATTTGAATCCAAACAAAAATACCTACCAAGTCTGAAGTAGATCAGATGAACTGTTGACCAGACAGACTGACAGACAAACATACAGATTGCTTGAGCCATTAGTGCGATAAAATATATTTCTTTGACAGCATCACTTCATATATTTGTTTTTCAGGATTAAAGATCTATTATAACTGGCACGGAATGCAGGCAGGAGAAATCATTAACAGCAAAACACGTTACTAGTACATCTCCTCAGCACTAGTGGTGTCATGGTCTCAAAGCTGTGCAGTAGACAAAAGAATCTGAGGGATGATACAAAGGTGACCAAAGTTACAAACAAATCCAGCTGTACTGGAAATGTTTTCAGAGGTCCAAACTCTTTGGCTTTCTGCAGAGCAAGTATGTAAGAAGTATCCGAGCTAACTTAACTTTAGACAACATGAGGAAAAATGCCTCTTCCCAAAGTTTCCTACAAGTATTTGGTTTATACTTAGAGAAGCTCTTCATCCTGACAGATGTTCCCTGGTGGATCTCTGTCCTGTGACAGTGGCACAGTACAGTGTATTAGTATAATCAAAGCCACTTCCCTAACCAATTTTTAAAGCTATTTAGCAGATGGACCACGTGGATGTAGACTCTGTCTGCTGTGTACAAAAGGTTATATGATTAACCACACAGCAGATACTGCACTACAATAGTAGCAGCAGTTCACACAAAGTAACACAGTGCTCAGTGTACTATAATATTGAAACATTTGACAGTCTCGACCTTAAGATTTCTATTTGCTGTAGACTAAGCGGGGACAATTAACTTGCCAAAGGACCACTAATTAAAGTTTACTCTTAATAACAGTAGCAGTTTATATGAATATATTGTTTATGTGTGTTTTGCCTACTAGTGCAGCAACAGTCCAGTGCTCCTTAGAAAAATGAACTGCTCGTACCTAAGCTAACAATTTCAGTCAGACCGATGTCTTTTATTTACAGAGTTAGCTTAGCGACTTAGCTTAGCAAGACTTTATTTGAAAGTTCAAGTTTTTTTGTTCACACTGGCAGCACATTCGGCCAATGAGGTTCAGTTTGGTTCAATGCCCTTTTTGACCCATGAAACAGCAGAAAATGAAACATTCTCATTTCAACACCCATTTGTTAGCGTTAGCTATTCTGCTGTTTTTCATCATGTCACAGGTGAAATGTAATGGTAGTACATTTACTTTGCTTCCTGTAGGAGTGATCATGTCATGTCTGACTGAGACCGTGTATTACTTATGAGGAAAGCCAACTTTGGGATTCCTAATCAGTCAGCTTTGGAAAAAAAATGTTTGAACTGTGTGTGAACAAAGCTCTTCTTTTTACTCTGGGGATGGTACACAATGCACAGTAGTTTTTAGACAAATGAGGGTAAAATGAGACATTAAAGCCTTAAAAGACAAACAACATTTTCGAAGAAAGCATCTCAGGTTACTATCTCTGTCAGGGCATGTGTTTTGTCTCTGCGACTGTCACACATGCTGATAGGTGCATTTGATTTTGTGATCTCCGCCACAGAGAGTACTGGAAGGCAACTACTGCGTTGTTAAAAGTAGAAACGTAGTTTATAAATGAATCATGTAACTATAACTTTACTACTTTGCAGCTCCTTAGTTTGTGATTGCTATGATATGAACTTAGATATCCTGTTATTCAAGGTTTTTTGTTTAGTTTGTGTGTTTTTTACTGTTTTTCTTGGTATCTTTCTGACATTCACCTCTCACACAGTGGATACAATTCTGCCCCTGCAGGAATAAACTTTGTGGTTATGAAACTGACCAAGTGTTTGCATAAAATGTCACATGTTCAAAGCCGTCACAGAACCTGGGGTTTGTATAAGTGCAGCTGTTGTTGGGGAGATAATCTCACTCTTCTATATAAAGAATCACCAGGCAGCAACTTCCAGATCTTCATTTGCGATCTCCTCCATCATCATTTCTCCACTTATCAGCAGCTATGGCTTCACTTCGCACCCTTCTGGGAGTGGTACTGTGCTCCTTCATGGTTTCTTCTTCTGAAATCCTACCTCAGGCAGACTTTGATTTACAGGCGGTAAGAATCATTGATAATCATTTTTATTTTACCACCCATCTATTTTCATAACCATGTCTCTATCTTAGGGCCATGGAAAGGGGGTACTGGAGGTTATCTAACAGGGATAAGCAGGGACCCCCCCAAGACAGTTTAGCAGTCTACACGGGAGGCTAACCTTTGCACAATTTACTTTTATAATGACTTCACCATTTATGTTATGTGGTTATGTTTCACGCTGGATTTTGTGTGATAATACATATTCTGTGTTACAATAAACAGCTTGTGCTTCTGTCTAATTCTCAATGCTTTCCATTTGTGTGTCCACAGATGGCAGGTAAGTGGTACCGCACTGGAATTTGCTCTAATGGCCAGTGGTTTGTCAGTCACAAAGCCAATATGAAGACCGGCACAGCCATCATTAAACCAACTGAAGATGGAGGTCTTGAGTTCTCGTTCTCCAGTCTTATGTGAGTGCGAGAGGACAGACAAAGCAAATATCATTTGAATAGCATTAAAATATTTACACTGGAGATTAATGTGATGTCTTTGCGACAGTAATGATACATGTCAGAAAATGGAGAATTTAGCCAACAAGACCGAGGTGCCTGGAAAATTCACATTCGAGAGTCTGTGTGAGTACGCCCACAAAGAGAGGAAACAAATCATTTTCCATCATCATCATCCAGTATTGTTTTTTCACATATTCTCTTCTGCTTTTTTCCTTTTTTGTCAGACTGGGGGGTGAGTGACATGCGTATGGTTGATGTGAAGTATGATGAGTACGCCCTGACCTATTCCTTCAACACCAGAGGGAATGAAACCTTTGTCATTAACAGACTATTTGGTAAAGTTGCATTTAGCTGTGTTCAGTAAACTGTTTAGCAAAGTTACACCCACTGCAGCAGATTTACATCACGTGGTTTCACAGGACGTAGTTTGGACCTCAGCGATGAGGTGCAGGAGAAGTTCAGGCAGTTCTGCTTGCAGACCGGCATCCTTCCTGAAAATACTGTCCTTCTTCCTAAAAGCGGTACTTTTACATTGGTGGTGAAGTTCTATATAAAAACAGCTTGGAATACAGAGTGATGTTGTGCACTGATCACCTTACACTTTCCATTTTTCCTTCTACAGAGGAGTGTCCACTTGCCTAACCTTCTGTCCCACCGATCGTCTCACCGGTACTGCATGAAGATCTTACACCCTCTGTTATGGAAATGTGCCTGAGCGCCATCTTGAGATGTTTTTAACAATAAAAATGCAAACATCGAGAATATTTTTCTTCATTATTCATCCTTTGTATGAAATAAACTGAAGAACACCCATAACAACACAACCGAAATGTATTTTTCCCCCCCATTCACACACTTTATAGTATTCAAACAATCACTCAATCAATCAATCAATCAATCAATCAATCAGTTTATTTATAAGCACATTTAAAAACAACACAGGTTGACCAAAGTGCTATACAAAGCAAAAAGTAAAACAAACACACCTAAAGAGAACAAAACAAAAACTCAGTCACAATTAAAAGCTAGGGAGTAGAAATGTGCTTTCAGACGGGATTTAAAAATGTGGTGGAGACGTCCTAATTTGAAGAGGCAGACTGTTCCAAAGTTTCAGGCAAACGCTTTAGTTTGCTTTTAGGAACAATCAGAAGCAATGTATCAGCTGACTGAAAAGTTCTATTTGCAGTGTTTTTAGTTAAAAGATCAGAGAGCTACGAGGGAGCTAATCCATTTAGAGACTTAAAAAAAAAAAGGTGATACAGCCTGTTAAATATACATGTGTCTTTCAACATTACTAATACTAATAAATGACAATAATTAATATCTTTTACCACATTTGGCTACTCTACAGTGGGCTATATGATTATTTGGTACTTGGCATGGTGGTAAAGGGCACAAAGATCCACAGCCCATCTGTTCCCTTTTCTTTATGTAGGTTCTCTCTCAGTACTCTGGTTTCCTTCCACATCCACAGACATATGTGTTAGGTTAACTGGTTATTCTAAACTTGCTCTCTGAGTCAGCCTTGCAGCAGAGCGATCATCCTTTCAGGGCGACGTCTCTGCTTTGAAAGGCAGTGCCTCCAACATTCAGCAATAAAAAGAAATTCTGCTGACCATAATGAATCTCAGTTACATCATATTATCAGAAGGCTCAATTTGAGGTGGTTAGGTAGAGAGCATTGAGAGAGTTATACAATTTAACAACTGTCCCAAATTTCTTTATTAACGATTCCAGACATTTTCGCAGTTATTTATTGTCAGAAGATTAGACATGTGACCCTCCAGACAGCTGACAACGACCTGGCTTAATAACAACAACACCAGCTGGTTATAAGCTAACATTTTGCCAGCTAATATTATCACTGAGTCTCCTAAGAAAATTACACTTTACCTCTGGTAAACAGTGTGATACCCGCACATCGTTTGAGGATTTATTCTCTAAGCGTCCAACAATGAAAGTTTTACTAACACCAGGTAACAGAGGCTTACAGTGACAAAAACAGCAGCACTTACCAACAAAATAAGTTCAGGCCAAACTCAGCAACTCAGCTCAGTATCACTGTCATTTGACAGAAATGGCCTTCAGTAACTCACAAAGTTCTATTCAGAGCTCAGGTAAAGAGCAGACTGACAGGCTGCACTCCATATGGATCAACCAGTCACAGTTTTTCGTCCTCCTGCAGCCACCATTGCTAGGATTATGCACTTTAGAGGGGGTAAGACAACAGAACTCAGCTGACTGCAGTCTGTACTCTACTGACATCTTGTGGTGAGGCCGTCTCTCCTGCATGAAGTCCAGGTGCTGGTTTTCCAGTGTGTGCGTCTGATGGCCCAAAGCTGACTCAGAGCCATAACACCATCAATGGCTGCAGTATGGAACAGGTGTGGGTGTGTCCTCATCTCCCAGAGGAGTCCAAATTGTCATCAAACAGCCCTACAGACACAAAAATGTGAAAATATAAACAACCAGACTATCAGCAGTGATTTAAGTACTTTAAGACCTCTGTGAAAAACATTTACAGTATATATCACAGAATTTAAGGCCTTTATAATCACAGAGCATACAGAGAAAAGTACTAAACTGAATCAATTTCAGCTTTCGTTTCTCATGATGTATATTGTATTAATAATTAAATTTCATTATCTGTAGCTTTACCACACATATCCCACACAGGTGTAGATACTGTAGGTTCAGTGAATGCTTAGATTGCACTGATGAGAATATACTGGACATTCAAAGCTAAGATTCAGCGCACTGTGTTAGAGGCTGGGATTTGATGAATTCATCATATATACAACCTTTGATCATCGTTTATGTCCAGTTGAGAATGAATCTGTGCACTCACATATTAAATGAACTGAAATCAGTAGTATGATCTCCAGTCTTTATATGCTGAATGAGAGAACTGAAAGCTGTTATTTTAATCAGCCTGTCTCAGTTGTTTTAACTCACAAGTATCACAAAGTAATGTGGTAACATCTGGACTGACGAGTTTACTGTCAGCATTTTAATCGCTAGTTTAAAGGCTGTAGGCTGCAGCCGTTGCTCTAACGCTGTATAAATGTAACGGGCCTCAGTGCTGGTTCTAATAGTCTGAGCTGCTTCCAGCTTTATTTGTGAAGAGCACAGCAGCTTACAAAACACGTAGCTAGCTCGTACAGCTGCGACGTAAAACTTTCATAAGCTAAGATGACCTTAAAATAATGGGGCTACATGCGGTGATGCTAGCGTTAGCCACGTTAGCACGTTAGCTTCACAGGTGGTCACACTTTGTAAACAGGCACTCAGTCAGAGGTTGAGCTCTCCCTTTCGCTGCAGGGTCCCTTCATTCTTCACATATCCGTGTCGAGCCGAGTGTAAATCCCGAGG